ATTATTTATATAACTCGGACTGTTGCCATATTTACGATGTTTCGGCCATTGCACGCTCGGGCCTTCTTCAGGTGACTGGAATTTCGAACGTAACCCTTTATTTCGTCCTCTGGAGTAAATTGTTCTAGTTCCCCGTGCCATAGTTCCATTTATATCGATTCTCTTAGCTTTTCTTCACCACTGTAGTAGCCAGGTATTGAACTCTTTAGGTCAAGTCACTGGATCCAACCAATGCTTTTATCCACTGGGCCATGTGTTCTTGAAATATTAGACAGAGAATATAATTGGAAAATACGAAAACATAAGGAATCAGCATATATGCAAGGCAAAAAATCTTCTAAGCTGGCCAAGCATAGAAATTAATGCAATATTGGAACTAGAAATAAGCAGTGCTGGAGAAAAGCAATAACAAGAAAATTGCAGTATGAGCTCTGGTAAAAAGGTTACTGAGACATTAAGTCCCCAAAATTCATACACTCTTGTCCTCAAGGACACATGGCCCAGTGGATAAAAACCTTGGTTGGATCCACTGGAAGTGGGTGGAATACACACCTTACAACTAATAGATAGTTGTGTTGATCACAATCAAAGTCCTGAAATCATTCTGATGTAATTTTTTATAAATCTATCTGCGCATCTTTGGGTTGGTTATATAAATACAATCATTCATTAATGTTATCTTCCCAACCGTCCGTTTCCAGTTCGGCATATAATTTTTATTTTTTATTTTAACGTTGTATATAAGATTATAATGAACCTCGTTTACTCTTGTTGCCAAGTGCCTCTCTTTATTTTAAACGTCACCAAGATTATTTGGAGCCTACTGCATGCAACCAGAACATTTAGACGAGATTTCAACCATGCCCTTTGTCTTTCCTCACTTTCCACGGATTTTTTTACAGAAAGCCTTAATGGAACGATTCAGAGACGTAAGAAGAAAGAAAAGAAAATCCCGCATCTGATCACAAGCGCTAATGTTTGGAAAAAATACACGATATTTATTTGATAAGAGAAAATCAACCCCGAAATGAACGTTGCGTTCTTAATTATGTTACTTTGTTATTATTTTATTGACAATTACTTTTTATGTATTTTAATGTTTAACATCATTTTGTGCTTTGAATGTTGATTCCAAAGATTTACGCACCACTCCTTACTCACTATGTAATTAATTAATTTGTCACTTTCTTTCTTCATTTACTCTTGATTAGTCAATGTGCATTTAATTGGTTTTGTATACAGCAATAAAGCACAACGATAATATCTGCATGTCTGGCTTGATGAAGGCAACAAGAGATGGGTAGAAGAGAGGTTTCAAATTATATCAAATCTGCCATATATCTGTCTCATTTATAATGTAACAGGTCCGACTTTTTACAAAATCTATATGAGGATATCTTTGCCTGTTCAAAGTTTGCTTTTTTTCTTCTTTTTTTTTTTTTTGCAATACCCTCGTCTCTGTTTTGCTTTTTCGTCAATCTTCTTTTTTTTGCCTTCTAACTATATTTTCGCCTTGCTACTTTTTGCATTTCAACTTACACGTTCACTTTTCATTTTTCCTATGCTGAGTCTTTCAGCTCATTCTCGAAACAGGTTTTCTATAGCTTTTCGATTGCGTTTGTTTGTATTTTTTGGCCGCAACTGCAGGGTATGTTGTACATGCAACTCTTTAGGAATATTCTTTGGATGGTGGCAAAAATATATCCAAGTGGACGCTAAATATAAGCACCTATTATCTGCAAAACACACAAAAAATGTGCATACACATATAACAAAAAAGTAGCATACAGATACACGCCATAAATACTTATGCGCATAACATAATGAAATTCTGTTACTTGGTACACAGTGAAGAAATTTTAATAAGCTCATCTAACAGACTTGCTAATCTAGTGAGTTCGAGCATCAGTGCTTGCACCATTTTTTATTATGGTCTTATATTTAAAGCCGTTTACTTCTAGCATAATTGTTAACAAAATGCTCAATTCATTCAAAAAAGTAACCCACATATTAATGCACTTGAGTTTTAGTCCTTATGAAGTAACAGAAAACATCTCAGCATTAATAATATAACAATACTTAGTAAAACAGACCTCAAAAAACGATTACAAATTTTAGAAGCTATTTATATAAAGTTAAAAGAAATAATAGTTAATCAAATCACTTTTCGCAACAGTCAGTTTAAAAGGTTTTCAAATACTCAGAAATGATATAGCGACACATTCGCATGACATCACAAACATTTAAACTCAAAATAACATTATGGCTACCTAATATCGGTTATGTTAGAAAATTAAAAAACAGCTTCGTTCTTTGAGTAAGAAATACATTACAACACTTTCATTCTGGAAAGTGACCGAAGTAAGTCGAAAGCTGGAAATATTTAATAAACACACCTGTCACGTGAACATTTCCTAATGAATCTAACCTGTAAATAATTCGTCATTTAGTAAAAAAAATATCATGTTGAAAACCGTACAAACTGGAGAAACACCTGCTACCGAGGTATAACTAACTTTGAAAAGAATCGTCTCAATCAACTGAGAGAATTAAGAATTAACACTAAACCTCAGGCTAATACATTAACCCATATGACGGTCAACACTTGAGTATGCCCTTCGTGTTGAGTATGCCCTTTGCTTTCAAATCCCGTGTAGGATTGTTGCCTTATACGAAGCATAAACATAAAAACTGAATTGAAACACACTCATACGTTGAAAACGACGGCAGAGTCCATTATATATATATATATATATATATATATATATATATATATATATATATACATATATTATAAATTAATTGATTTAAAATATGTTTTTCCGCTACACAGTTCTAACCATGTTTCAAAAATGGAAGCTAAACGCCACGAATTTAATTTTGCAATTAAATTAAAGACATTAGTTCCATTTCCTTACCAAAATGTAGTTAATAACCGATACAATGATGCAGACATAAGGAAAACCCAGACAACCCTTGTCCAATTGAAGTAGATTTATCTGTAACCATGGAAACGTGATTTTTGCTGTGTCTTTAAAACCCAGTAATTTTAAAAGTTACTCCAAAATTCGCTTGAGAATGAAATGGAACTAATGTCTTTAATTTAATTGCAAAATTAAATTTGTGGCTTTTAGCTTCCATTTTTGAAACATGGTTAGAACTGTGTAACGGAAAAAACACATTTTAAATCAATTAATTTATAATATTAATGCTCTGTAAATTTACATTGAGCACTATTTTGTAAAAATAAAGATGTCTATAAGAAAACCGGATTATATATCTTACTTTTTATTTAAAACACACACACACACACATATATATATATATATATATATATATATATATATATATATAATGGACTCTGCCGTCATTTGAATGACCGATTTTTCAAAAATTATGAATAATCCTTCACAAGCAAAGAGGAAATTCCTTTAGAAATTGTCCGAAGTTCATTTTGTAAGAAAAGTACATGTAATATGATCCAAGTTTTCGACTTTCTCAAGTCAGGATTTGCAGAGAAATCCTGGACCATATTCCTTGTATCTTTCTTTCGAAATGAACTTTGTTCAGTTTTAGACGGAAATTCCTCCTTGACAGAGATGGATTATTCATAATTTGGAAAAGCCGATCAATAAAATTAATTGACACTAAATATCTGTCGTTTTTAATATTTACATTCAACAACATTTGCCCCTTAAATACACATAATATATATATATATATATATATGTGTGTGTGTGTGTGTGTGTGTGTGTGTTTGTGTGTGGTAACAGTTTCTAGGCAGACGTCTAAGCATTGGTAAGTTTCTAAGTAGGCGTCTCACTCACCGCTTAGGCGATCTCCGTGGCATAAGAAAACATTAAAACATATCCCCCAACTCCTCTAAGCCATGAGAGAAATGTTTGTCGTTAACACAGACATATTGAGAACATCCATTTGTATTAAACATATGAAGATGTTAGAAGTAATCCTAATTAAAAGCATCAGGTCTATCTTGATTAGCACTTTCTTCGTACGTACGCAGGGTTGAGACTGATAAAACAAAATAAAAAAAAACTCATCTAAGAATGAAATTACTACGACAGGAAACAATTCAAATGTAATAACAACCTTCGTTGCCATGAAAAAAAAATCCAAAACTCATGAAAATAGCTAGAATATCCGAAACGGTTGGGATGATAAAAAAAATACGGAAAACTCTTTGCACTTAGCCTTCCAATACGCAAAAATTTTAAAGACACAAGAAAAACTGAATAAAAAAAAAACACAAAATATTCTTTGTTCGTCATGCATAACAAAAGAATTTTTTGCCCACATATATCTGGCAGATCTTCCCACTGAGACGTGATGTGGCTCAAGGTTGGATTTAATGTGGGGCATCCGAGCAGGACCAAAAAATTTCTCAGCCCTCGCATCCGTCAGTTGCACTTGCATCGATTTGATTACTAGTGCAATGTTGTGGTGGGAGGGGATTACAGCCGCGGGCAGCTGTTTGTTGAGACCAGTCATCTATAAGTAATTTTCCCCCTGCTCCGTCGCACTATGCCCGAAGACATAGACGCAACTGAGAGAACCATATATATATATATATATATATATATATATATATTGTAATGGTAATGTTAATATTAGCCGTTTAAGGAAACATTCAGTTATCATTAACCGAGTAGTCATCGCTACTATTGATTGAAATTTCTACAAATTTTCTCTTAAAACTATTTTTCAGGGAAATAGTTTTTTCAACTCCAGTAACTGTTAACGCTCTTTCCAATAGAGATGGGAATCCCTTCCTATTTGTTTAGTTGAGACAGATGTTTCAAGATGCTATCTCCATTAGTTACTCTTTACATGTGCTATCTATTTTAGTTGTTGCTGCTCTTGGTAGTCCTCAACTGATGTAGTTTGTGTTATTTGGTACAGTTCTTTGTTTATAATTCTGTAGCGCCAGTTCACAATTTCTAAGATTTAGAGCCATTCATATATATATATATATACAGCACGACTGGGGGTTTGTAGTCGTGCTGCCTCGTTTGGACTGGGGAGCAGCTGGAGTGGTGCAGGGCTGTCGGGTTGCGTTTGGAGCCGCGGACGGAAGAGCGGTGGAGGTCAGTGTGTGGAGTGAAAGGTGGTTGGAATGGCCGGCCTGGGCAGGGTCGGTGGTAAGGTCTGCCGACTGTGTCGTGCGGAGGAGCTGGCGGTGGCGACTTGTCCTGGTGGGCAAGTGTTGCTCAGTGAGAGAACTGAAGTGTTAACCGGGCGCAAGCGCTTACACAAATGTTTATTGAACAATTACGCGCCCTGATGAGTGTTTTCCCCTAAAATTATTATTTATTTTTCCCATTCTTAGTCCCACTCCCACCAATACCATCCAACTCTTGGGGTTCTGACTCCCCCCTTCTTAGTCCCACTCCCACCAGTACCATCCACCTTCTGGTGTTCTGACCTTCCGCCTTCTTAGTTCCACTCCCACCAGTACCATCCACATCCTGGGGTTCTGATCCTCCCTATTTTTAGTCCCACTCCCACCTTCTGGTGTTCTGACCCTCCCCCTTCTTAGTCCCACTCCCACCAGTACCATCCACCTCCTGGGGTTCTGACCCTCCCCCTTCTTAGTCCCACTCCCACCAGTACCATCCACCTCCTGGGGTTCTGACCTTCCCCCTTCTTAGTCCCACTCCCACCAGTACCATCCACCTCCTGAGGTTCTGACCTTCCCCCTTCTTAGTCCCACTCCCACCAGTACCATCCACCTCCTGGGGTTCTGACCTTCCCCCTTCTTAGTCCCACTCCCACCAGTACCATCCACCTCCTGGGGTTCTGACCTTCCCCCTTCTTAGTCCCACTCCCACAAATACCATCCACCTCCTGGTGTTTTGACCCTTCCCATTGCATCGAGTACTTTGTTGGTGTTTACACCTTTCTAGGCGCCCCAACCTTTTTTGATTATTTTTTTATTTTTTATTTTTGGACTCCTATTATAATAGAATAGTTTATATTTTAAATACTTCCATTCAATTTTTAAATACTTCCATTCAAAGTGACAGCAAATAAATTTCTTAAAGATAAACGGCTAGGCTACTGATAGTAAATAACGACCGTTATTTATCTATCACCTTTCTTTCACCTGATGATGTTCGCATTACATTCTTTAATTAAGAAAATACTCACATATCAGTCACGCCGAGTCATTTTGCATCGGAAGGTATTTGTTGGATAACGTTCGTAAACATCTTTGATATAATCAAGAATATATGTTAGAAAACTATTTGCCTCGCGATTCCCTGAACGAAATAAATATTAACGCAGAACCAGAATTTTTGCTCTAAATTTAGCAAAAAGGATAATTCTCGAAGGAATATGACTGCAGAGAATTATACTTTAGATTCCTATTTTAATTGATCGAATCGCGTTTGTATAAATTGCAACACTATATAAAATTCTTATTACTTTACATTTTTAATCCAATCAGGCCAACGCCCTAACATGTATCGTATTTTGTTTCAATTGGTAAAATAAATCTTGTTCTTAACATACTTATTATTACTATTATTATTCGTTGTATTAATATTAGTAGTAACAGTCACCTAATGAGTGTTCCCACCAATTGTGACTGAAGGTTTAAGAAAGTAACTGACAGCAGGTCTCATCGATGTTACAGTACAATTTTCAGGATCCAAGATGTTTTCAACGTTTTTCTTAATTTTCAGTCTTTTTAACTAGGCTCTTAACACATTTTCTAATACTCCTATAATTACTGGTACGACTATAACTGTCAATTTCCATAACATCCTCTGTTCTCTGGCAAAGTCTTGGTACTTATCTGACTTTCAAATAGACTCTCATTGCGATACACAATCTAGCAGGATTTTTTCTTCACTATAATAAAATCCAGTCTTCTGTCCTGGATCGGATGATCCATTTGAATCCGAAATTGAAAGATTATTATCCTTATTATTATTGACTGAAAGAGCAATGCGCTTTTAAAATGACCTTGGGTTACAAATATACAAAAGGTCATCTCAGACCATAATTTACATCTTAACACCTGTAATAAAAAAAATCAGAAGCCTTGAGAACATTGCTGTTGTAACATCAGTATTTTTATTATTATTATTATTATTATTGTTGTTGTTGTTGTTGTTGCTGTGTTTTGTCTTTGCTTTGTATAGCACGAGATGCCTCCAAGTTTCAACCATAGACTCGAGGTTTTTTTTTTATCAAACAGATAGGGTGCAATTCAATCAGAGAGGAAAAAGTGATATTGTGGTCATTCTATGGAGAGAAATCTACGGAAGGTGCAAGAAGTACCCATGAGTATTTTTGTTTCAATTCACATATTTTAGGGCTGCCATAAATTTGATCCCCGTATTTCTCTGCTTCTTTTGATATCATTCTCAAAGACCAAATGACAGTAATGCCACATTGTATTGATTGCTATCTTCAGATCTTTGTATTACTTAAATAGTTTCAAAATGTTTCTTTTTGTCGACAACAGACATATATTTTCAATATGATTTTTCACAATTGTCTAACAGTGGCTGATGTTCCCACCAGTTCTCTTTGGGAAGGAAGATGAATGCGTGACATATTGACCAATGTATTTACAGAGCATCCCTATTATGCCATTACAAGTAATCTGTTGGCGCCAGTCGGCTACACCCAAATATTATGTGGTCTCCGTATTTTTTTCAGCATAGGCTGCTGTTAATTTTGAGGATTTTATGTTGGTAGGTCCTAATGGGAAGGCTGTGATACTAGGCAGCAAAATTGAATCATTCTGGATTGAAAAAAGAGCCTTCGTAAGAATTTGAAATAGAACGGGAACGCTGGCTCTGGTAGGCTGTTTGCCATGTGCAATTTTTTTCTGCCATTTTTCCCTAGTGTTTTAAAGGCCGATTTGTTTTACTGCATTTTTTCAGGTCATTGTTCGGTTATCTACAGTTACCAATTATTATTAGTGTTATAGATTATTATTATTATCGTTATTATTATTATTATTATTATTATTATTATTATTGTGTTTTGTGTTTGCTTTGTGTAGCACGTGCTATGATGATACCTGCCGTTCAGAAATCCGCACACGGATTGTTGCAGCCAAGACAGCGATCTCCAAATACGAAAGAGCAGAAACAGCTTTCAAACGAAGCCCAGACTGTATAAATCGCCATTGTCAAACGGAGAAAAGTGGCGTGGTTTGGACACATTACAAGGCTGGACAGCCTGTTCAAGACCATCACGCAAGGCACCGTTGAAAGTGGACATAGAAGAGGACGCCAACGCAAAAACATTGGTTGGACAATGGATAAGTATGACTATACCAGAATTGCTGATGGCTGCCGTTGATAGACCACTGGGTTCAGTGTGGCTTCTGCATTCGGATCCTCCCACTAAGGATTACAAAAGTCAAGGAGATGATGATTATAGTGATGATGATGATGATGATGATGATGATGATGATGATGATGATGATGACTGTTATTAGTTCTTTTTTTTATAGGAGCTGTATCTTTTTTAATCATTTCATCCCAAGTAAGATGATAATGCCACTAAGGCGCAAGGAGTTACTGAGTGTGGAAGAGAATGTGAAGACTTTATTGAAAAGAAGAGATAACAAAAATCCAAGATCCAGGAAGACAGAAAATAGCGATTGGCCTTCCATTTAAATTTTTGAGGATTGTAGGGGTTCATGGAAACCGGAAGGCGTGAAATGCGAGAAAAATAAAACTTTCGAAGAGAACTTCCGGTTACATCTAGTTAATTCAACACTAAAACAATTAGACCTAGTTGTAATCTAGTATTATACTTGTAAAATATTTTTGTTGTTTCGAATCTTGTATATTTTTCAGCTTATCTAATGCTCGATATTTTTTTAATCTTTTGATCATCTGAAGTGTTCGAGTTCTGCTGCTGGTCGAATTCTCCATTACTTTACAATGTAATCATCATAATTCACAAGTGATACTTGTGCTCTTCTGGTTTTTATTTCAAGGAACATCTCGCAACCCTTAAAATACTTAAACTAGTTTGGGAACAGTATAATTCAATATTGTTTCAGTTCCTTCCAATTCCAGAATTCTGCGAGATTCTTCATTCCATTTCTGATCCATTTCAGAATACTGTTATCTGCCATTAAAAAAAAAAAACAATTTTTACAGCTGAATAAATCAGGGTGAGTGGCCACCTGTAGAGTCGACACCAAAGGAAGTTTAACATCGGTTAGCAAAGAGTTGAATTTTGAAAATCCAGCTTCAGTTGTATAGAATCAGATGAAAAAATAAGATGATTTGATCGCATGCAATGACTACTACAATTACATGCAGAATAAGATTGTTTGTTTAGCGGCATATCAACATCATTATGGGTCACTTAATTCCGACATTTAATTTTCTTAGAAGCATTAGTAATTTCTTTTCCAAAAATATACTGCTGGTAATTTTTTTTATATGAAAATGTATTGCTGGTATTTTTACTATAAAAATGTATTCTTATACTTTCATAGTGTTCTGATACTAGTTTGGGCGTTAACTATTTGCCCATAGTTGGCACCCTAACATGTGTTACCACCCCTTGTCTTGGAAAAGTAACAATTAAGAGGTGGTTCCATGCTCCTCAACATCTCTTGATCAAGGCCTTGTAGTTTATCGTCATACCCAGGGCGCTCAGAATAAGAACTAATAAAACAGAAAATCGTTACATGAAAAGAGATAGGTTGGTAGATTCCTAGGAATCGAGCCTGATTATTTGATAAGACTCAGTAAAATTTGGCTTCGCTCCGAACCCACAAACTAGAGTTGCTAAGTCGGGTGAAAATCATAACAAGTGATAAATGACTTCCTCGGCCGAGGTCAAGAAATCTTTGAGATTAACTTACAGAAAGATCTATATATTAGATTTGTGTCGGTTCTTAGGCAGAATAATTTCAGAGAAATAGCTTTTCCCCCAAAATCTGTCAAGGCGACCAACGGGCTGTGTGATTTTTTTTTACATAAAGACATATTCACCGGTGGTTTTATAGAAAGAACAGTTTCGGGGAATTAGTTTTTATCTAAAGATGATCAGGTAGGTGCGGCTAGCGTATTGGATCTCGATACAGAAAATGAAATCATTGAACAGAGTTCAAATTCTGGAACAAACTGTTATGTTCATTTTCGAACTATTTTCATTGGGAAGGAATAAATAAGTTTCATTTAAATATGACTGAGTTTACTTTGTTTGGTTTGGTTTGTTTGGTTTGGTTTGGTTTGTTTGGTTTGGTTTGGTTTGTTTTACGGCATATCAACATCAATGGGTTATTTAATGCGGACAAAGTTTTTTCCTGGTAATATTTTGTTTTGTTAAAAATCTATTTCTGGTAATATTTTTTTCCTCAAAAATGTATAGCTCGTAATATTATTTTCAAAAACGTATGGCTGGTAATATTTTTTTTTTCAAAAAACATATTGTGCTGGTAATAGATTTTTTTTCTTCAAATTATTTCTGGTAATATTTTTTACAAAGTATTTCTGGTATTAAAACCTATTTTTACACTTTTATAATGATTTTTACCTCAGTTTCATGGTTAACTATTTGCTCATAGATGGAACCCTAACAGGTGCTACCACCCCGGGTCAGGGTGGACCTGGGAACACCAGCAATTAAGAGATAATTCCACGCTCCTCAAAACCTGATCAGAGGTCTGCTATTGGACGTAGTTTATCGTCTTACCCTGGACGCGGATGTAGTTTATCGTCATACCCAGGACGAAATATGACAGTGTTAAATAGTAAGGTAGAATGGACTCTATAGCCTTGGCTGGCAAAAGAGCTTTAAAAAAGAAGACATTGAATTCCAAACAATGGAAAACGCAAGTTAAATTCTTGACAATTTCTTCACAGATGAAGAAGAGTGATATGGTTCTACAGAAGGATGCTGAGAATGACATGGATTAAGCAGGAGAGCAACGAGGGAGTTTTATTTGAAAACGAGAAAGAAAAGCTGGATCAGAAAGAAACAGTTGACATTTCTGAGACACCTAATGAGGAAAGATAGTTTGGAGAGTCTGACACGCACGTGACATATTAAAAGCAAGAGAGGCAGAGGGAATCAGAGAGTAATATGCCTAACTAGTTTGTGTAAATGGATGTCAGAACTGAAACTGGGAAAACTTGTAAGGGGGAAAATATTGCCCAGAGCTATAAACGATAAGAAATTGTGGAGAGCCATGTTCGCCCATGTTAAGAGTCTTTGGTTGCCTAAAGAGCCTTAAGTCTCAGTATTTATAAAGATTTCAACATAAAACTTTATGCAACACGAACAAGAAAAGATCAAAGATACAAATGGGTGTCATATACATGTCACTGCTTGACGCTTTTAATTTAGTTAATATCGAACAGACATACATTGAATCAGTGGCCAATTTGCAGTAATTCCAAACTGATAATAGAAATCAGTAAATTTGCTCCCCTTCCTCCCTGTTTATTTTGCATCATGTCGTCAAGTATAAATTCCAATTCTGGCTGACATTTTCTTCCTTTCTACTAGCATGGCATTTAACTTTGCCTTCATTTAATTAACCAGATATTGAAGTCTGTACAGAGACTTTGTTTTCAAGATTCTTACAGTTCCACCTGAAAGACAGCCACCCGGTGCCAACTTGTTCTGTCACTGTTAGATTTAAACAGCATGGACAGAATTTGGTTTTAGCAAGGACATTTTCTACAGATTTCTGCTAAATTATTATAGAATGGTTATATGGCAAAACAAGTCAATAGAAAAAAAATCTTGAATTCTAAACTGATATAGACATTTCAAAAAATAAAATTTAATTTTAAAGAAATTATTTTTAGCTTTTTAATCAGTTCCATTCTGAGTTTTTCTCTCTCCATCTTTCTCTCTCTTCATATGAATCAATAATACTTTATCTTTCTCTCTTTCTAACCTCCCTCCCACCCCCACTCTATCTCTCCCTCTCTCTTCATATGGATCATTAATACTTTATCTTTCTCTCTTTCTCTCTCCCTCCCTCCCCCACTTTATCTCTCTCTCTCTCTTCATATGGATCATTAATACTTTATCTTTCTCTCTTTGTCTCTCCCTCCTTCCCCGACTCTATCTCTCTCTCTCTCTCTCATCATATGGATCATTAATACTTTATCTTTCTCTCTCTCTCCCTCCCCCACTCTATCTCTCTCTCTCTCGTCATATGGATCATTAATATTTTATCTTTCTCTTTCTCGCTCCCTCCCACCCCCACACTAACTCTCTCTCTCTCTTCATATGGATCATTAATACTTTCTCTTTCTCTTGTCTCTCCCTCCTCCCTCCCACACGCTATCTCTCTATTCTCTCTTCATATGGATCATTAATATTTTATCTTTCTCAAATTCTATCTCTCTCCCACCCCCACTCTCTCTCTCTCTTCATATGGATCATTAATACTTTATCTTTCTCTCTTTTTCTCTCCCTCCCCCCACACTCTAACTCTAACTCTCTCTCTTCTCATGAATCATTAATACTTTAACTTTCTCTCTTGTCTCTCCCTCCCTCCCCCACTCTATCTCTATCTCTCTCTCTCTCTCTTTATATGGATCATTAATACTTTATCTTTCTCTCTCTCTCCCTCCCTCCCCAACTCTATCTCTCTCTCTCTTCATATGGATCATTAATACTTTATCTTTCTCTCTTATCTCTCTCTCTCTCTCTCTCTCTCTCTCTCTCTCTCTCTCTCTCTCTCTCATATAGATGATTATTGGGTTTTTTTCCAGTGTATCAGCTAAAAGAAAAAATGTAATTAACTGAATGAAGATAATGATTTGTTAACTGCTTCCAAATGTCAAATTTTTTCAAGGTTTTATTTCCTAATCTCATTGTTGTTGTTGTTGTTGTTGTTATAATAATTTTATCAAATATTTTGCTCTTCTGACATCAAGATTCTCCTATTTTCTAAACCTAAAATCTTCTTAGAAACAACAGACTCAACATTCTCTTGAAATTTCCATCTTCCTCAATTATATCAGAATTAATTAGGCCAATTAACTGCTTCATTAAAAATAACTATTCTTTCAAGTTTTTCGAGACGTCACAATCTTCATCTTTTATGAAGCCTTCGACATCATACATAACAGAAAAGTAAAAGTTTATGGGAGCAAATGTACCACGGGTAACTTTTTACACTTTCATATGTTAATATATATAAATATTATTATAGACACAATGTTTTGGCCAAGTACACTCTGGCCATGATGAAATGCTAAGTGAATGATTTACTTGTCATATCTGCTTTACTTCTTGCTAAGGTTTCATGTATCATCATTTCAGGACATCATGTGCAGTGAAGTATATTTGAACCAAACCCCAAAAAGTATTACCTTTGATTTTGACATGACTATTCTTTCAAGAGTTTTTAGCCATCTTCAATCTAACTCTTATGAAGCCTTCAGCATCATATATGGCAGAAAAGAGACAGTTTATGGGACCAAATGTACCTTGTGTTACTTTTCACACTTTCATATATTTTAACTAATCTAACGTTAGGCTTCCATCAGTAAGACAACAACATATTGTGAACTTTGGTCTCTCGCTCCTAGATTTAAGAATTTTGGAAAAATAACTTCGGAGAACTATTTTTTATAAATTTAAAACAAAAAAAAAATGTTATTTCTGAATTCAATTTTTCCTGTCAGTAGTAACAGATTCCCTGCAGATCAAGTAACAGCAAATCTCTTCAGTACTGGTGCACCTTACTCAGTATTCTAGTAAATCTGCCATTTGGATTGTTTCGGTTCTTCTAAGATTTGAACCATTTCGAGTTTCACAACAACGACTGGCTCTACAGTTTTGGGTCATTTTCAAGACTTATAAGTTGTTCTTATATTTGTCCGTTTTTCACTTTGCAGGAACAGAGAGATCAATGAACTGTCACCTTTTGTATTACAATAAGTAGATGAGATTTTTATGACCTGGATTAGTTTCTCAAAGAAAATAGTACTGAATTGTTATGCAATATCGGTACTCCTGTATGGCAGTGAATGCTTAACCATCTCATCAAAGATGGAGAAGAGACTTCAGGTAACAGAGGGGATTCTACAGGGGGATTCTGAGAATACCCTAGACTGAACATTTGAGAAAAGTTTTAGCGATCATGGAAACAAAAAGGACATTTATACAGAGCATCATAAATGAACAGTTGATTTTTTTAGGGCTCTTAATGAGGAAAGTGGGTTTGGAAAGTTGACACTCACAGGACAAGCAAGAGGAACTGAGGAATACATCGCATAACCCCTGCTTAACGAGCTTGGGTAAATTGTTGGAAGAACAAGGATTAAGAGATATATATATATATAAAAAAAAGACAAACTTTACAAGGGACTACAAATAACAAGAAATTGTGGAGAGCCATGCTCATACCTGATGGGACACGGCGCCTAAAAGAAGACAATGACACGCACCTATTTTTGAAATTAACAAAGCACAAATGTAAAACTAGTGGAACGTCAAATGGGTTAAGTGTTTTAAGACGAGTTTTCTAACATTAGAAATGTTTGCTAACATTAGAAATGATTAGCTCAACAAGAGATTCAATAAATGTTGAAGATTATTATTGATCACTTCTCGATTTCTTTTTCGCTGTTGTCGCCGTCATTGTCATTAATTTTTGTTGGTTTATTTTACTTTCCATGTTTTATGCGACATTATTGCTAAGCTTATCATCATCATCAAAATGGATTTTGAAATAAAAAAGTTCAACTTAATGAACCTTTAGTAAGTAAAAATCGAAATTTGGTAAAAACGCTGATGTCTAATGACCAGCCCGGGGAGAATAAAAAATTTAATTGAGTTACAACAATCGTAAATACATAAAAAGGAACTGGAAAAAAACGGATTCCCAATTAAGATAATACAAATACCAACTTGGTTCTTAATTTGGTTCCAACAAAATAGGTTTATTATATTATTTTTGTGATGGCTTTTTTTATATGATTTTCTTATTAATTATCATTAATGAGCATCAACTACA